CCCCCCCCCCCCCCCCCCCCCCCCCCCCCCCCCCCCCCCACCTCCCCCACTCTTCACTCCATCATCTCATCTTCAATTGAAAACCAAAATAAAAATACACTAGCCACATCAAAGCTGCGAAATAAGGTGGGATAAGACTCTGATCTGATTTTTAGTGTGGTCGAACGCGTCCGAAAATTGCTAACCAAAATTTTACTTTGCATTAATTTTGGTAATTTTTAGGGGTGCAAGGAAAGATGGCGGAAGGTTTTTTGGTTAGGTTTGATGGCTTATCAGGTAATAGGCAGGTTTTACTAAGGAGTAATTTTTCGATAGAAATAGGGGCTGAGTGAAGAACATCACTTTAAAAGATAGGTTCAAATTTGAGAATAGTAAAGGTCCACCATGGGCATTTAGAAATGAGAGACCACTGGACCAATCTGTCTTCTCAACAATCTTAACCTTATTATTGTTGATTGGATTTTTCGCCATCGTTGCGTTAAGAATTTTATGAGTAGTGAGTATGCTATTGCAATTCGGTATTAAAAGATCTCTTTTTCTCCTCCTATACTCCTTCTCTTAGTTATATTATACATTCTCTTCCTTTCTCAAATGTATTATATTATTTGGATCTTCATATCGATTAGTATAATTCACCTCTAATTCTCGGTGGAGGAGGAGGGGAATGTAAAGTATCATTAAAAAACCCGATGGCATGAATCCTTCTAAATATTTTTTTCACCACGCCTCATTTTCTGCGTTATTTTTTTTTTCCTGGACTCTGTTCTTCGTTTATTAAATAAAGTTAAGAAGAAAAGAGGTTGGCTGTTACCTTTTTACTCCACTTAATACTTTGAAAATTTTTTGCTAGGACTTGTAACAAAATAACAAAATAACAAAACAAAATATATTTTCTTTGGAAAAAAATATTTCGATTTTGTGGAAATTATTCAGTTGTTATTATTCAAATTGTTAAATTATTTTTTTTAATTAGTTTATTTTTAGCCATTATTATTTGTAATTATTTTTTATATTAATATAAATATAATAAAATATAATTAAATTACCAAAAACTAGGTGGGTCAAAATATAAGCCACTAGTGCCATGCGGATTTGATGCCAAATTTCAACGGGGCCTAGATCTGAACCTCGATTCCGTAGGAAAAGCAGCCAACCACTTCGCTCTATTCCTTATTTGTATGATAGAAAATGGGAACAACAAATAATCGTAAGGCCGTGAATATTATTAAAGAGTTCAGTTGAAGCATATTAATGCATGAAAAATTAGCTTAGTTTTATTATTATTAACAAAAAATATTTTGGATCACCATTTGGCCATTTTATTTAAATATACCTTAGTTGTTTTATTTTTTGGCTAATATATTTTCTTTGGAAAAAAATATTTCGATTTTGTGGAAATTATTCAGTTGTAATTATTCAAATTATTAAATTATTTTTTTTAATTAGTTTATTTTTAGCTATTATTATTTGTAATTATTTTTTATATTAATATAAATATAACAAAATATAATTAAATTACCAAATTATGCACAAAATTATGGCTATTTGAAATTTTTTTTAGCAGTCAATAACCATTTATAAAAAAAAAAAAAAAATTTCCAGCAAAATGATGATTTGATGATTTAATATTATGCTAAAACTGTTTAGCTTTGAAGCTTCTTTCAGGTAGTGATTAAAAATGGTTAATTCAAAAGGTATCAGACGTGGAACTCGTTATATGTTTTCAAGGCCATTTCGAAAACATGGAATTGAGCCATTATCTACCTATTATCGAATATATAAACGTGGAGATATTGTCGATATTAAGGGTAATGGCGCATTCCAAAAGGGAATGCCTTTTAAAGCTTATCATGGTCGAACAGGTCGTGTTTTCAATGTCACAAAGCATGGCGTTGGCGTTATCGTTAATAAAAGAGTTAGGTATGTCTTTTTTACAATTACTTTTCAAAATATTTTAAATCACCAATCAGATTGTTCCATCGTTGAAATATTAATTTTTAATTTGTACTATATTAATAAATATTTAATATTAATTTACATTAATTTGTTGCTGTTAATTCCATTGATAAGTTAGAAAAGTTTGAAAAATATTTTCCGATTATTTTGTTGATTTTTTCAGGAATCGAATTATACCAAAGCGTATCAATATTCGCATCGAGCATGTTAGACCATCAAAATGTCGTCAAGACTTTTTAAATCGTGTTAAAGAAAATGAAGCGAAGAAATTGGCAGCAAAAAATGGCGGTCCAAGAATTCCAATCGCTCGTAAGGTAATGTTTGTTAATTATTTATCCTTATTGCTTTATTAGCAGTGACCAAATATTCTAGAATGCATTAAAAATAACCGGAAATATTCTTTTTCAGCCAAAAGAACCAATGAAGGCACATTTAGTAAAGACGAAAGGGAATAAACCACAACTTCTTGCACCAGTTAAATTTGAAATTGTTGCTTGATTACCCTTCTATATTGTTTCGTTAATTTTAAATAAAATTTTTTCTTTTTAGTTGGCGCTCGTCCGTATGTAAAATGTTCCATATTCTTCATAAAACGTTATTGTACCATTATTGGTTATATTAAGTTTAATAGCTATAAGACTGAGGCCTTTTTATGCCTCTTGATTCGATTTAATGGATTTCAAAAATCTTTTAGATACAAAATTGAGTTTAAAGATTAACAGGTGATATCCAAATATGGCTTCGAGAAGTCTATCCAGTCTTCAAATATTTTAAATTTAGTCTAATATCGAATGATCAAGCCTTAATGACCGCTGTGGTGACCGAATAGCTGTGCATAAAAATGCCTTAGGGGAAAAAATTATTCATTCGTGAAATCAAGGCAGAAATTCTTGTTCCTGCTGCTAAATTTCACCCTCTTAGGTAGCTATGAAATATGTGCGAATGGACGACATCGGGAAGCTTTTCTAACTAAGGTATAAGGTTTTACGAAATTATGAGCAGGCGGAGGCTGAATAATAAATTGCTACGATAACTAGAGACCTAATCAAATGCATGGGGAACCGAGCAATATATAGGCTTAAATCTCAGAAAGGATATCTATATTGTTTCCAAATATGGTACTCGTAGTTTAAAAACGCCTCAGCCTTATAGTCCATGAAATCAGTTTGAACGGAAGCAGCCAAATTCAATTTCAATTTCGTAACAATCAACCAAATTCCAAATTCCAACAAAATTTCCAGACCACTAACCAGAACTTTTCACTTATTTTAATGTTTACCTTTTAAATGGTTTAAATTTTTTGAATTTCCTAAAGAGCCTGGCAGAGTTCCATTTCGGCTAAGGCCAAGCAGCACGCGTTGATTAGAGACAAAGAATGATAACGGTGATCCACTTCCACCAATGTACCACTAAATGGACATTCAATCACCTTCAAGGACCACAACCAGCCATACATATTCGTTTCGAGCGACACTAGAATTTTAACAACCAAACAATCCAATCCAAAATTCCGCAACCGGAGCTGGTTTTTAGAGGGAAAACTGATCTTTATTTATAAAGCTGAAGCTGATTAATACGTCTCGGCGGCTTCTTTTATTGTTTGTATAGTTTTGAGGTGATTTGTGAAGCTATTTTATTACAATGGTACTTAGTATTTAATGGTGATAAAGATGGTGGTTAGTGATAATTCATTAGTGATAATGATAGTGGTCAGTCAGTTGGCGTAGATATTCATTTATTATAATTGACATTATTTATTTTTGTAATTTTTATAAATTTACAGATTTCATTTCAAAAATAAGGAAAAGAAAATGGGTGAGCGAAATGTTGAAAAATTAATTCGGCGATACGTCGATAAAAGAGATGATAAATTAGTGGATGTTGTAAAACGTTGTATACGGCGTGGTTATGATTATGAAAAAATGAAGGATCGTGTAAGTGAACATTTACGTGATTCGTTGTCGAGAAAAAAATTAGTTGACGCATTATCGGAAGCTTTTCCACAATTTGCACGACGACGAAAACATAAGGTTAGAGAGCTTTTATTTTTTGGTTTGCTTCCTTGCATTTTTATTTTTTTCTCATATTTTATTTTTTTGACATTTTTTCTTTTTTTTTCCAGTTAATTGCTTGTAAAAAAATATTTCTCAACTATCTTTTTTCATTTAATCATTTTTTTTGTAATAATTTAAATATATTTGACGCATTTTTTTCTTTGCAGTTCGAGGAATCTAAAGATGGCGAAATCGAAAATAACGAGAAAAAGTCAAGATTCGATGAAAAACCACCAAAAGATATTTTAGTAACACCAGCGATCAATTCTACGATTTTACCAGTTCATTCGTTGAAGGTCGAAGAGAAATCCGAAATCACTGAAGAGGTTTTGGTTTTTTGGAAATATTTTTATTTTTAATTTATAAATAGATTTGTGATTACGATTCATTTACTATAACACAATAATTTTACCAAATAAAATTATTTTTAGGAATTGAGAAGTAAGGAATTGATGTACCAAGCGCAAATGGCGATCGAAGAGCGAAAACGTCAATTAAATTTAACTGCTCGTCCAGGAATTGTCGCTCAGAGTGTCATATCAAAAGCTTCAAAGTTAAATACGAAAGAGGCCAGTATGTTCGTTAATTATTCAATGGAAAAAATTAATAGGTATGTTATCTATGATGAATCTTTATAGCACATTTTTATGACTTTTTTTTTCGTTTTATTTATTTCGTTTTATTTTTTTATTTAAATATTTATTAAAATATATCTTTTAAATTTTTTGGCCTATAAAAATAAGTATTTTATTTTAAAGGGTAAAAGAACTGAAAGAAAAAGTAGCGCAGCGAGCAGCTGGTTTGACAACTATTCAAAAAAGTATTTCGAACGCTACGGCAAAATCAAGCGGTGAATTTGAAACGGATCAGAAAATTATTGAATATCTTGATCCTAGAATAAAGTTCATTTTTTTATGATTTCTCTTATTTATAAGCAAATTATTTTTAGTATTATGCTCACCTTTTGAATGTTATTTCTATTATTTTAATTATCTTAAAATTTATTTTAAAGGTTAAAAAGTGCACAGCGAAAACAACGTTCTATCATCTTTCATGAAAAAGGCGAATTTGAAAATTTGGCTCATCGTGAGCGTGCCAGTGCTCGATTAGCCTTATTACAATCAGAAGTCGCACAGATAGCAAAGAAAACTGGAATGTCTTCTTCTGTAAAGCTGGCTATGCTTACTCCATCATCAACATCTACGGTTGGCATGCATCAGTCCATTTATTTGATTTATATTTTTTGTTTATTTAAATAAATAGTTATTTTTTTCGTAATTATTCAGGTTAATGATATTCCTGAAATTGAATGGTGGGATGAAATTGTACTCGAAAATAATGACTACGACTCAATACCAGATAAGATGCTCGGTGATGAAAGATATTCCAGAACCATTTCTAATTTAGTTGAGCATCCTATTCAGTTAAAACCACCAGATGAACCTCTGCAACCGCAATATTTAAAGGTAATTATTAAATGTGCATTTCGAATTTTTTTTTATTTGTTTATTTGAAAGGCTTAATCACTTGAATATTTCTTGAAGGTGTATTTAACAGCTCGAGAACGTAAGAAAATTCGCAGGCAAAATCGAAAGGAAACGCAGAAGGAGCAAACTGAAAAAATTAGGTATGTTTTTTAGTTCAAGATCAGATTTTTTATTATTTTCTCACCTTCAAACAGCGTTTTTCACCGAATTATTTGGCGATATTTTCTTCTTTGTTATATATTGATATTTATTGATATTTATATATTATTATTTTATTATTCTTTATATTATATTGTTTTTAGGTTGGGTCTCATAAAAGCTCCAGAACCTAAAGTGAAGTTATCAAATTTGATGCGAGTGTTGGGATCTGAAGCGATTCAAGATCCAACTAAAATGGAAGCCCATGTACGCAAACAAATTGCTGAACGACAACGCAAGCATCACATTGAGAATCAGCAGCGAAAATTAACTAAAGAGCAGAAAACAGAAAAGAAAATCAAAAAAATAAAGGAAGATACATCACTCGCTGTTCATACTGCAGTTTACAAGTAAATTTCCAGTAAAAATGTTTAAAAAATGACTGAAACATTCTAATTCTTTTTTTTTTATTAAATAACAGATTTTCTTTTAATTTTACGTTTTAAAAAATTTTTTTGCATATTGGAAAAGTATGGACTGTGAAAGCGTAGATAGGAAAACTGGGAATAAATCTCAGTTCTTAGACTAATGGTAGATTTCTTATTTTTGAAATGAAATAATAAAAGTGCTTTACCCTTATTCAATAACTTGAGTCATTTCAGAGTAAAATCATTATCACATCCAGCTAAGAAATTTAAAGTTGAAATGAATGCGAAACAACTTCATATGACCGGTTGTATACTTCTTCATGGAAACATAAATCTCGTAATTGTTGAGGGTGGTACGTTATTAAGTGAATTTTCGCAGAATTTATAAATTTTTAAATTCTAGCGAGGATGTCTCATGCCGTTTGAATTTATTTTTCCTTTTTTTTTCGAAATTCTGCATTCAGCATTTGCTTTTGAATGCTTTTCTTTTAGTGTATCTTTTCCTATCAATTTCTAAACCTTAATATTTTGAATATTGAAAGTGATTAATTAATTATTTGAAGTATTCGTTCTTAAATTTCAAATGAACTCAATTTATTTCTATTTATTATTCAAGTAATATCTCTTCTAATTTTTTAGGTCCAAAACAACAAAAAGCTTTCAAAAATTTAATGATGAATAGAATAAAATGGTCAGATGAAATAATTGGTCAAAAAAAAGAAGCTGAAAGTAAAGATGTACCTGGCGAACGTAACGAATGTGTTTTGGTATTCTAATTTTCTTACTTCGATTTTTTTGTTTTTATTATTGTTTTTATATGCTTTTTTTTATTTTTTTCTCATTCCAATTTTTTAAATTAGTCATAATTATCTTTTTATTCATTTTTCATAAAGTTTTTATTTTTTCAGATTTGGGAAGGTTTAACAAAGAGACGAACTTTTAACGAAATTAAAATATTGACAGCAACTTTAGAGAAACAAGCACGAGAATTGCTTGATAAACATGGTATTGCGCATTTCTGGGACCTTGCCTATAGTACGACATTATTAGCTGAAGATATATCACTGTGAATAATATTTTTCGTTTATTTGTTTTTTTTTATGTGTTTACTGAATAAAATGAAATTTTTTCAATATTTTAAAATATTTTAATTGGCACTTTTAAATGTATTCTTTATTTTCATTGCTTTTACGCAATCCTTTACTTTTTCTTCAAAATTTATTCCAAGCGTTCATTTTCACGATTTACTAACACTTCAGGTAGTTCTAAATTTTGATAAGACCAATGGTAATGGATGGGAAGCTGATCGAAATGAATAAAGCTTTAATGAATTTAGAAGAGCAACTTAAGGCTAAAGAAGCAATATTGGAGCAAACGATAAATGTGCTATCGAATCTTCCAGTCCATCCGAGAAATTCATTTGTTTCGGTCGAAATTATTTTTAAAATAGATTTATTTTGGTTTTGTGAATTGTTTAGTTTTAAGATCAATCAAGGCTTATAAAATCTTATAGCATTTGATAATATGAATCTGATAAGTCTATTGATTATTGATAAGTTATATTTGTTGCAGAATATTCTTGAATTGGAAATAAATTGGAAAAATGATTGTATTGAACTAGTGGATTTAAATCTTGCTTTTTCAGCAATTTTTTCTTCAAAATTATGTGTTGCTATTGAAGTTTTCAATGATTCCAATAATTTTTTGTGAGTTCTTTGCCAATAATTTTTATTATTTTTATGAATTTGCCTTGCAAAAATCTGTATGACATTGGGCATTTTCCTATACTTCTCTCATCAAGAAAATCAATAGCGTATTTTTTGTTCGCTCTTGGATAAGCTAGCAGAGTAAGCTTAACCAGAAATAGTGAATGCTATATATATTAGAGGAAAAACGAGATAAAACAATAAAAATTATTTATCATAGAAGAAATAGAAAAATTATTTATCATAGTTTTTTGAATCCCTTTCAAAAAAAAAATGTTAAAAACAGGATTATGGAAATTTAAAAGTTGCAAAGAAGGTTTTTATTGAATTTATTGAATTTAATTAATTTAAAATATATAAAAAATTGAATGCAATTTCAATCGAATAAAAAAGAGAGATATTTTTGTTTTCCAAAGATTTTTTTTTCCGGATTTAGATTCTTTTCAAAAATATAATATAAAAATTTGAGGAAAACTTTTCTATTAACTTTTAGGATTCCGTCATGTTATTTCATATGTCCACAGTCACGTATTCCGGTTTGTTCATCAACTTTTATTATTTATGACGGAATGAATATCGTTCATGAAGTGGCGTATGTGATTTTTACTTAAATTATTAAAATTTCTTTTTTTGCTAATTTTTCTTTACTAATTTTTAAAATTCTTTTTCAAATTTTAAAGATTTTTTTTCTTAAATCTCTTAATAATAATAAACAATAGTAATAAAAAAATAATAGTTGGGCAATAAGAAAATTTATTTATTCTATTTTATAGAAAATTATTTTTTGTAAAATTTTAAGACCAAAAAGTCGACGAAGAATTGTGGCATGTTGTTCAGCAATTACGCTGATTGATAGTGAAATATTGTTAATTTGTGAATTTGATATTGTCGCATCGTTTTCGAATTTCATTCATCCGTTTATTTATGCTAATTTGCCGAAAATCAACGATTCAATCAAAAGGCGAGCATTCAGGAATTTTAAAATCGTGAAATACGATCGAATATATAATCATACAAATATATGTAATTTACCATTTCAAGGTCCTTCTGTTTTCTTTTTTTAATTTTTAAATTTTTTCTCGTGCATTTAAAATCTATTAAAAATGCTCAAATTTTTAAAAATTTAGAGGGAGAAGCGTGTTTTCAATGCATTTATGCGGCATATTATAGCCAAACCTGTAATTCCTCGCATAATATTCTTAAAGTATTAAAAGAGTTGGATTATACGGAAGTAGATTTTGATGGCTGGCAGTTATTTATTGGCAAAGAAGGAACGATATGGGAAACTACAGCCGTTGCCATTTCATCATCAGCAGTGTCGAACTTATCGAATAATTTTATTTTTTCAAGGTTTTTTTTTATATCGATTTCTGCTTTTATTGAGTTTAGGTTCATTTCTTTCCATCAGACTGAAATCTATTATTAAAAGTAATATTAGGATGGCTATTATGAAAGCACACATTTCCAAATAACCCTCCGCGAATATGTCGCATCCTAATAGCCAATATATAGACTTAGACGATGGAAAAACGAATGCTTTCTACAACTGTGAGATCAGATCGCATAGCTTGGAAACTCTTATAGCCAGCGTAACCAGTACTCGTGAGAATTATTAAAAAGGAAAAGAAAATAGAAAAATTCTAGTAATTTACTCTCTTGTCTATTCAATTAAATTTCTAAATTTCTCTATTTTTTAGTATTTTTTATAATGTTTTAAGGGAAGAAGATGGATTAAAAAGAATTTCTGCTAGATTTGACTTATAAATAATGAAGAATTCATTCATTTCAATGAACTTATTGAAATTAACGATAAATATAATTTTAAAAATTTTATTCGATAAATAAATTATTAAAATTTGCAAAAATTTATCTTACATATTATCGCTTCATTAACTAGAAATTGAGATCGAAATCCTTTAGCAAATAAGTTTTCATTTTAGTTTTTTAAGTTTAATTTGAATTCCTTTGAATTTTACTTCTATTTTATAAATTAGAAATTACATCCATCATAATTTTATAAGTTCCATGAATTTACATATTTTATATACAAAAAAGAATAATCATTAAATAAATAAATTTTTCAGCGAAGTTTATCCTTTTTTTCATTAATATATCGACCACTTCGAGGTGTAAATGAATGTGTACGTTGAACTAAATTTCTGCAAATTAAATATTAAAATATTATATTAAAATGAGAGAATAAAATCAATATTATTGAATTTTATTTAATAATTAATTTTAACTATTAAATAACGTTTAAAATACCTGTTATTGTTAAATGTGAAAGACGTATTATGATGAAATATAAGTGAATTATCAACGGGATGCGCAAAATCAATAGCTCCGTTATTGAGATCGTCAAGATGAGCAGAATACGAGTCTATATGTTCACAGTTTTTACGTTTTACACGTGAAATGGAAAATATTCGAGAATTTTCAATGCCGGCCGATGAATAAACAGCCACATCTTTACTACTTCCATAAGCAGCGCAAATAGAAATACCCATTTCAATAAGACTACGTAAATGAACAGTTTTATGCCTGAAAGAATAGCGAATAAATCGGTCAATTTCTCAAAAATTTCATTCCTTTTTTTTTAAAAATCAATTTGCAGAATAATTTTAAAATTCGAATATTTGAAATAAAGGCTAACTTTAATGGATCTGTAGAAAATGAAGGAGTGAAGAATAAAAGACCATGGGGAAATTTATGTAACGCCAGCCAAGTGCTAACCACTCTTTGTTGCATATCTGGTCGAGCAGTAATGTAAATAATCGGATAACCCTAAAAAAAATTCTGGATGAATTTCAATTTTTTTTTCAACAACTGAGAATAAATTTCTTGAAGATGATGATATATACAAACGAACCAAATCATGCCAGAAGCGCACAACATCAATGGCACCAGCCCGTACTCGAGGATCTCGACCAGTTACAGATACTGATGCAGTTAGAGATCCATCAAAACTAAACACAACACATTGAGTATTCCGAGATACGACTGCTACATAGAGATCGAGAAACGAATGGTCCCCATGAACTATGGCCTTCACACAATGTATTCCAACCGGTAAATGAGTCTGAATATTTTATTTTTTAAAATAGAGGAAAATGATATCAGTGGTATAATAAAGGACCATAAATAAATTTAAGATAAAAGATTCATTGAAAAAATGATTACAATGAAGGAGATACGACCATGTGAATCAGTCGTTTCCACTGAAATAAGTTCCCAATCACCACCAACAGGGCATACATACACCGAAATCAATTCTCTTGATAACGAAACAAGATCCATTGGACCATAGCAAAATCTAGCATTGACCAGTTGCTCATTTCCTTCAACAGCAATCACATCGTTGGCTCGATGATTTGGCGCCAGATTACCGATCTGTATCACCATAAAGACATCATATTACAAATAATTTGCAGAAGAAGATGAAGGTTGGCAAAAAATGTGAGATTCACTTACTTTGAATCTTGTTGTTTTACGATTCCATGATAAAGGACCCGGGTCGATTTTCGTAGGAATAGTTGAGATATTAGAAAGGGAAGATAATGGAAGTGCATCTTCATAGCTAATGAACTGCCTGAAAAAAAAATAAAAATTATAAAAAAACTAGAAGCCAACAAAGAAAGCCAAAAAGTATTAGAATAGGAAACAGGATAGGAAAGGAAAATAACCTTAATATGAAAGCGGCAACATCAGCACTTTCCCAGTAAGAAGCATGTAAAATATTTGGTAAAGCCGTAGAAGGCAAAGCGACCATAGCATGTGGACAATATAAATTATGATCGATTCTTCGAGTACCCCATAATAAAGATGAAGTGAACGCACTTAAATATATTTTTTAAAAAATATTTTTTAGAATAATATTTTTAGAATTTTTTACTTATTAAAAATTATTTTATTATTATAAAACTATTATTTATTCGTGAAAATATGAAAAAAAATAACCTATCAAAATGAATAGGTCGACCGTCACCATGAGGATATTTTTGATAACGAGGCACACTAACTGGAGGAACTGTTGCAAGTTGAGGATTTAAAATTGGTTCAAGGCGTGCACCACATGGATCCAGTGCATAATATAAATTAAACACTTGCCCACAATCAAGCGCATCTAACTCTATAAAATTATTTCGTCGTCAATTTGACCATTGAAATTTTTCGAAATATAAAAATAAATGGATATCACTTAAAATTTTGTCTAATATTCAAGTAAGAATATTTTTAATATTTATTTATTGTTGTTTAATTATTTTAATTAAATTTATTATTTTTAATAAATTTATGCTAAAAATTTTTCGCGAAAAAACGAACCAATGCCAATCATTTTCCTCTGAATTAGAATCAATGCTAAAGGGCATCCAAGAAGAAAAACTGTACTCGTTCGAAAATTTAGTTTTGTTATTTCCTCCTAAAATAAAATAAAATAAATAAATAAAATTAAAATAAATCAATATGGAAATGTGCAATTAATTGAAATTTTTTTTGCTCAATTTGCTCATTTTAATTAAAATTTGAAAATCAAAAGGAAAATAAAATAATACAAATAAAAATGATAATGATAGATTGATAATCAACCTGCTCATTTGATGACGAGTCGAGTTGAAATCCTTTTTGGTATTCTTCAATTTTTGGCATTTTATAATGAACTGATGAAGGGGGAGCCGAAAAATTTCGATGAATTTGCCTTTCTCGTGTTCCATTCTGTGGAAAATCGACAACTGATGCGGATATCTGCATAAAATTTAAGTATTCCATAAAATAATTTTATTATGAAATTATGATAAAATTCTTCTCTCCCTTCTCTCTCCTCCCACTTCACCTTCCCCCCCCCCCCGCTCCTCCTTCCCATTCCCGCTTTCCTCCCTTGCTTAAAAAGATATTTATGATTATCATCCAGTTTCTTTATAATTTTTTTGTAGATATATTTTTTTAAATGAATCTGAGCGCAAAATTTTATTCAGAAGAAAAAACTAATTTGTGATTGTGATAAGTGAAGTAGATTAAAAATATAAGCGAACAATTCATATTAAAATAAATTACTCGTTCAAAATAACCAAAGTAATCATATTTACTAGAAAGAAGTTAAGAAGTTTAGAAGTTAAATGATATGATATTGTTATTTGAATTAATGACGTTTATCCTTCAATCTTTTTAAACTTTTCACAAAATTAATCAAATTATTATTTCTAATTGGCACTTATCGATTTGATAATTTATAATTTATAATTTTTATAATTTATATATTAAAAATTTTCTCGATTTGAGCTCGGGCAACGCGAGACGGACTAGAATTTGTTACCGATGGAAATGTCTAAACCAGTCTGTTTATAGCCAATTTCGGCTATAACCAACCTCTTCGGTACTCATTTCGCAAACGGTGGAGTATCGAAGTCAACTGAGTAGCTGGTGAGATCTAAGCGAAACCGGTCCCGACATTTTCACATTTTCAATAGACTTACTTGCTTATCGCTACCAAATATCGCCAAAGCTCGATAAAGTAAATTAAAAAATCCCGCAAAGAGAATTAAATAGTTTTTTCAATTTGAAAAGAGAGATTTAATTTTTTGAAAATTTTCGAAAAACAATAAAAAGTAAGCTAAACCATTCTAAATCGCAAATAAATATAAAATGTCCTAAGCGACTGATAAGGAAACAATCGGCAGTTAAGCTATCATTTAGAAAACATGAACAATCTATAAGAAAAAAAACCACCTTTTCATCAGAGATCACATGAGAATTCGCGGATACTGAACTTGAATGCCTTGAAACACTTTCTTTATTTATCTGCTTTAATGATTCGTATAATAAAAGACCGCCAAGATGATCGCCAATAGCAAATATTTCTCCAGCAAAGGACCGTCCAAGTTCCGTTTCTTTAAAGTTAGTAAACGCTTGATTCGCAGATTTAATCATATTTTTCACTGCCTTAAATAAATTATATTAGAAAAATTTCAAATAAAAACGAAATAAAAAATACGTTTCAATTGAAAGGAAATAATGAAAAAACTAAAAGAAAAAATTTATTCGAAGAACTTATAAATAAATCTAGAAAAGTACCACCAGCTTTTGCCTTTAAGTATATTGCCCACCACATGAACTGACATATTACTCGTTATTTGCTAAATTCTGTAGGCGTCAAAAGTGAAATGGTCCAATCAAGACCTGGACTGATACAATCAGAAAAGATTTTAAACATACAGGTGTACCAGCGATATATGGACTCAGACGATGAAAAAAGGAGTGCCTTCTATTACTATCAATGATGCCATTGGACCGAATAGCTCGGAAACGTCTTATCATTGCAGCCAATTGAGCAAACCTAACCACTAATGGTGGATGCGAATAGAAGAAGAAGAAAAGGTAATCACCTCCTGAAATTGGCTAGAAGATGATAAAAGAAGTGCGACAGACGGATGAAATGCTCCAAACGATGGACTTATTGATATTAATTGTAACAATGGTACACTTAATTCATTTCCACATGAAATAGTTAGAAAATGCACACGAGATTTCAACTGCGAATAATGATTCGAGATTAACTCTTCGATCATTGTTTTTAATGAGCTCACATCAGTCGTTTTGTTCTCCATTAATGCCTAAAACTATATATTAAATAAATAAAATATAAAATTATTAAATTTATTAAAATTTAAAATTATTTGAATATTTTTTTAAAAAAATAAGAAATCATTAAAAATATAAAAATTATTTCAATAAATGAAAATAAAATCGTTAAATTTAGCAAATAAAATAAATCATCTGCAAAAACAATTCGATATTAATTAATTAATTAAATATTAAATATTATTCAGAAATTTCCATTCGATTTATTACAATTATCATAATTAATAAATTATAAGAATTATTATTATTTATTATTATTAATTTTTATTTATTATTTTAATTATTATTTTATTTTATTATTATTATTATTATTATTATTATTATTATTATTATTATTATTATTATTATTATTATTAAAACAATATAGGGATTATTATTTTTCCAAGAAAATGCATTAAAATTAAAATTACTTAAAAAAATTCAATCAACCATTTTAATAACAATATTCTTGAGGGAAAATAGAATAATTCGTTCAAATGAGGCTAAAACAGCAATTACCGATGATGCATTAACTTTTCACTTTCACCATGGTTGAGAAATTTTTGAAAACCGACATTTTGAGGGAAATTATTAAATAGTTATTAAGTCTTTATTTGCCTTGATAATTGTAGAATTATTATAATTTCCTATCATTATCTCCTTATCAATTCGTTTATAAATAAATTGCTAGGCCTAAATTCTAAAATAACATTGGTAAAAAGAATGAGAGACTTGAAACCGTTTTGCAATCCACCGATTCTAAAACAGAACAAGAAATTCGACTAGAACAGCAAAATGGAAACAATTGCGGCCAACGGAGCCAACCGAATCTAATCAGTTATGGTGAATGCCTTTGGAAAAATAAGAATAAGAATGAATAAATGGCTTTTAATAAAACAACGAATAAAAAATTATCATCAAAAAAAAATAAAAATCATTAACCTCGGGATATGCGTCATTTTGAAATATCATAATTAACAGAACAATATTAGTCGCTTCAGGAAGTGAATGCTTTTGCCGAGGAGAATCGCATTCGGTTTCCAATAATTCCGAACTCCAACGTACCAACGGTGTTTTACTCGTTGATGGCGAGGATATGTCAAGACAATCGAAAAATACTTCCGACGATGACGATAATACCGATTCTAAGCTATTCGAACGGGCCATAAGTTTTGATAAATGTTCGGCGGCCTAAAAATCCTTTATTTTTTTCATATTTATATTGTTACATTTTAAAATATTTATTAAATTTTAATTAATTTCGAATACGCAAAATTAAAAAAATCAATATACACATACTTAAAAAATTAATGAATACATTACATTACATTCAAAATATTCATATTTATGAATAAATATTTAAAATATTCAAACTTATAAAAATATACTTAAAATATTCACATTTGTAAATAATTACATGAAATATTCAAATTTATAAAAATATACTTAAAATATTCACATTTGTAAATAATTACATGAAATATTCAAATTTATAAAAATATATTTAAAATATTCACATTTATAAATAATTATAAAATATATTTATAAATAATTATTAAATAATATTTATATTTATGAAGTGCATAACAATTTTCTCGTGATTCTTATGATCCATCTATATCGTCGACGTTTGCGTCGCAAAGTCTGGCAAAAAAGTAAGCCTAAGCCGATAGGGTAGCGGAACAATGAATAAAATCTAATTAAAAATGGAGAAAATTCTTAGAAAAAATAAGATTCAATAGTAAATTTCTTTTAGCAGACCAATTTTAAACATTAATCATAAAAAAAAGCTAAATTTTTTTTGGCAAAAATATGCAACAATTCTTTTAAAACATAATTTTCGAAACTTTTTTCGAAATTTTTATATTTTCAAATTTAAATTGTATTTGCGAATTTAAACTTCTTCTAAATTACCATATTTTCAAATTTAAATTCAAACTTAACAAAATTTTAAAAATTTTATGTAAATATTAAATAAGAAGTGAAAATTTCGAAAGAAATAAAAAAAATTATCGAATTTAAAAAAAAAATTTTTTTTAAAAAATCCAAAAAATCAATTTACTTGGAAATCATAAAGAAAATTATTTAAAATTTAAAAAAAATTGTCTAATAAAATTGCTATTTTCATGTTTGCCTCGAGAGTTTTTCTTTTTTTAGGTTTGAAAAATATAATAATAAAAATATAAAATAAATATAAAATGCAATAAATAAATAAATATAAAAGCAATAAGCAAATATATAAATATATAATAAATAATATATATTAAATAAATAAAAACATAAAAATAAAAGTATATAACATTATATAATAAATATAGCAAAATATAAAATATATTTTTATACATAATTTTGTTTAATTTGTTCTATTTTTGAAAGTAATTTAAAATTCAATTAACTTAATAAAATTAAGAAATTTAATAAACATATTTCGATTCCAAAACGATATATTTGAAATATTTTTTAATAAAATAAATTTTTAGTAAAGGAAATAAATGTTCTAAAAAAAAGTTATAAATTCCTTATTCATGGAAAAAAAAACTGATAAAAATTTTTTCTTATAACAACGCATATTATTTCTGCTTGATTTATCGCATTAAATATAAAGTAAAAGCTTTCTGCCAGTGAATTATCGAAAACAATTTCAAATTTTTAAAAATTCAAAGCGAAGCTACGAAAAAAAACTTTTCCAAAAAACTGATAAAATTAATGATATAGTTTCTTAAAATAAAATAATAACTTATCACTTACTAAAAAAATATAGGCAAAAATAATTAATAACAGTTGATACGATATGATATAATAATAAAAGAAAACTGATGAAAAGAATAAAAAAGGAAAAAACAGCGCTGGCAAAAGAAGAAAACTCTATTTAGGAGGATGAATGAATGAATATATGGATAAAATGATGCACCAAAAAATATGAATTGATTATTGAAGAATCCAGAAAATGCAAAAAAAAATTGCTCACTTCATGTGAAACATTTCGTTTTTTTTATAACTTTAAAGGCTTCATATTTATTATTAAAAAGAAATGATATTTATTAAAAAATTATGTATGAAATTATATAAAATTTATAAAAAATTATAGCAAAAATATTATAATAATAGAATAATCTAACATAGAAGAAGCCACTGAAATTTTCTTCAAATTCCTAGGCTCTTAGTAGAGGTCCAAATGACTTATACTCATGCCAAAATATCCATAATAAAAGGTGAAACAGAATTCCTAGGGAAATAACCATTTTATCCTTAGCAAATGCTTCTTTATTATTAATTATATAATTATAATAATTATTAAAATATTCAAAAAAGCAATTAAATATTGCATTAAATAGTGTCCTTTCTAAAATCCATTTCTCTGTCTCAAATTTTTCAATTTTAATTTTTTTTTTAGAAATAGAATTTTCTGAAATGATTTCATAAATCTGCTCAAAACACTCCCCAATTAGACGTCCATTTTTATTTGATAAAATTTTTCCTCCATATTTTTTTAAAGATTCTAAATAGAGAAGGAAAAAAAAAAATGGAGAAGAAGGGAATTTAGATTCAATAAAATAAACAAATATTGAATTAATGGCTAATTTGTAGAATAAAGAAATTTAGAGGAAATTGCATACTTTTTCTTTTTTAGATTAAATTCATATTTTTCTTTTTTCCTTCCTTGTAGTTCGTTAAGAATTACGAAAAGAATGTCTATATAACCAATATAACAATTATATTCTTTTTCTTATAATAATATTTTTTTTGAGCAATTGATAATAATGATAATCTTATGATAAGATAAAGAATCGATGAAGCTTAAACGGAGTTGATTTATTTGCTAGAAAATTAAAAAATAAAACCTCAGCTTCTAGTTGTCGTATTTCAGTTATCGTTAATCCATACCATTCATCTTGCCATGCCCATGCTTGCCGATGTGCTCGAAGCATCGTATTTCTTAAAGCAAATGACTGTATCCATTTCTCCACTCTTGTTTGTAAGCCCCAATAACGAAATTCGACCTAGGAAAAAAAAAGAATTTCATAAATTTTTGAAATTTCATTTTGAATTTATGAAATCAATCTATATGTATAAAATCGTAATTTTATAAGTCAGTACAACGAATAAACAAATATTTCAATTAATTCGATCGAACTTTTATGGAAAATCGACGAGTAGAATGAGTATTAAATATTTATATTTATATATTTTTTACAATTCTATAAATATTTAATATTTTTTATATAATTATATAAATTTATTAACAAATATATGAAAATATAACCAACTATTTAGAATAGTCAATAAAGTCGAGCTTAACAGCTTATCACATTATCACTTATTTATTATTATATATATTATTTACATAAAACAATTATATATATCAAACAATTATATATATATATATATATATATTTATAAACATTAATATTTTCGTTATTGTTTTTTACAAATTTTAGAAACTCCCTCAAGGCAATACCAAAATAAAACGATAAATAACTTTTAAACAATAAAATAATAAGAGAAATTTGACTTAAAAATTAATACAAATTAATAAAATAAACATAAAGCAAGTGAAATCCATCAATAGAATCATACAATATTAAAAAATTTTAACTCACTAGTTTTCATCCTTATCATTTTATCACCCAAAAAAATTAATACAAAAATAAAAATAAAACAAATGAAATCCATCAATAAAATCATAAAATATTAAAAATTCCCAATTAATTAATTCATAAAAATCTTATCATATAATCAATCGTCAACCTGATAAAGCTACATATTTACCAAATAATCTAATTATTATATTATAATTCCTCAAAATAAAAAAAATCTTCTTTAATAAAAATAATAAAAAATATATATACTTTACAAAGTTTATAGGCACACATAATCGGTTTACCATCTTGAATACACTCATTAATCCAATTTTCCGTTAATGGACCACGTCCCGTTTTATTACTTTGATATAACTTTGGATCCTCATCAACTGCGTAATCATAATATGGTAATGCATCATTTACAAAATCCATTATATCTATGATTTAAATAATTTTTTTTTGAAAAAAAAGATATTTTTAAGAAATTGCAAATTTTACCGAACTTAACTAATCGAATTAGATGCTTCAGCAGAAAAGCATAAATAGCAATCCCCCGTTCGTTAATGGGTAAATAGGCCACTGTGACCAGTTTCCAGCTCTATTAAAAAAAATAAAGGTACTCCAATCTAGTAAAAAACTTACCAATAGTTCGGTTTTTTAGTTCATCGCCTTTTAGATCAAAAACATTTTCCTGTATACCAGCATCATTAAAATATTTTGTTTGTACTTCAACACTAAATCGATCAACTATTGGGCAAGAATATTTCGTTTTCGTATATGGATAAGCATTCCATGCTTCTTCATGTGCTTCTAATGCCGTACTCGGTAATAAATTACGTATCCACGCTAAAATATATATTACGTGGAGTAGACGTGATAAAACGTGATTTCTCTGAACGCAGAAAAATAAATTTATATTTAAAAAAAAGAATATTTGTAAAAATAAAATATTTAAAAAACAAACAAACTTGGCAATTTATTTCCAATATGATAGATTTTAAAGGTATATTGGCCTGAACCACCTGGTCCATTCGTATATGGCTCATTTGTTAGAATTTCAACGCCACTATCTTTACCCGAACTATCGATACGACTTTTTTTCTAAAAAAAAAAGTTGGAAAAAGCCTGCTTAAATTAGATTAGATTAGATTATTTGATTAGATTAGATTAAAAAACCTGGATTAAGTGAAATTAAAAAGAATTAAAGCAAAATGAGATAAGATTGATTAAAAAAATATTTTACTGCATAAAACGAGGCCTAATAAAAAAGAGATATGACCCGACCTATCGAACAATAGAATAAAAAGTCAGTTATGTCAATAATCATATAATCATATCAATAGTGATATAAATAATACGGTATAATCATATAAAAACTAGACAAGCGTGAAATGTTTTTATTAAATATTTAAATATTAAATATATTTTATATCAGATATCGTTATCGCTATCAAAAATTGACAAAAAACTGATCCTCGTCAGCAATCGCTTAAAAGCTATCATTTCCAGATGTCGATATCCTCTCTTATCTTTCTTGCTATATTTCCTTGTGCTACCAATTATTCCATCAAATTCTTCCTTCAATCTGACGTTCTATGGATGATGGATAAAAATTATTATAATGCATTGCGATTGATTAATACGATAATAGAAATTGGCCGCAAAAGCATCGCCTCAAATATTAAAGCAAAGCTGTAATGGTACCCGAGGGATGGTATTTAGGCTTTAAGCGATAAATTTCAAGCCGATAATAAAGAGACATAACTTATCAGGTCTTGAGATCGTATTAAGGAGAAAAACAATGAAATTTAAATGAAAGAAACAGAAATAGAAAGCAAGATTTGAGAGATATAAACATACTAAATGGTGAAAAAGGACAACAATTTGATCAGATGGTGAATATGAAGACCTCTAACGAGGTGTTATGGTAATAAAACAATAGAAGAGGAAATCATTTTTTGTAAAATGAAATAATTGGATTTGGCTCATGCGGAATCTAAGAGAATGTTAAAACTGATGAACTCTTATGGTAAAAGCTGTTTCTGGTGTGCAATACTGAAGGCAAATAAAGAGAGTTCGAAAAATTCTTTAATATATTTATTTATTAAAAATATTTAAAATAAAATGTTTCAAGAATTAAGAAATTAATGAAGAATTTAAAATTAATTAATCAAATCCATCATTTTCTCATATTCTTTCATATTCTTTTTGTTTTAATAAAATTATATACATTTGAACTCATTAGTGATAAGAAATTAATGATAACAAGCGAATGATAAGTTAGTTGTAAAGAAACAAATGATAAAACTAAAAAATGACAAGTTAGCTATGCGAAATTTATTGTAATATTGCAAATGTTGTTTACAGTTTTGTTTTGAACCATTCAAAAAAAAAGCAGCAAATTCTATTAAAAAATTTTATCAACTTATCAACATTTTCTTAAAATTTATTCATTTTTTTCAGAATCTAATTAATTTAATTAATTTATCTATGGAAAGAAAAACTAGGAAAAATGATAAATTTCAATGATAAATGATAATCCATAAAATTTTTGACAAAAAAAATAAATGATAAAAAAAATTTAAAATTGAAATTAATTTTAAATACCGAATAAAAAAAAAGATTTCTGTTCTTTTATTCTTAAAATTTTAACAAAAAATTTAAAGATTTAAAGCAAAGTTAACTTACTTGTATCATATAAAGTTGAGCAATTCGATATTCTTCCACATTTAAGGGAAGAAGAATTCGATATTCTTTTATGAACATTACTCAGTTTTTCGTTGAAAAATAGTAATAACAGTATTAAGAATAGTAATAAAGAAGAGATAATTTATTATTATTGTAATAAAGATAAAAATAATAAAAATAAACATAAGAATAAAAGAATATTCAACTGTCGATTGTAACAATAGTAATTGTAATTAATAAGCATTTCCTTAAAATATGAACACATGAAAATACAGTATATATATTTATTATTATTATTTTTATTATTATTACTATTATTATCATCGTTGTTATTGCTATTATTATAATATCATTATTATATATTATTATATATATATTGTATATTATTATTGCTATTATCATTATTATTACTACTATTATAATTTTTAAAAATTATAAAAATTGTAAATTATAAAAATTATAAAAAAAATTTTTTTTAAATTAAAAATTATAGATTAATTAACGCATTTTCAGTGACAAATTAATCATAGAATTAATCATAAAATAAAAATAAAAAGATTAGTAAAAATCTTTTTATATTTAGCATTTTACATTTATTAAATAATTTTTTATTAAATATACTAATTTTTATATCCAATAATTATAAAAAAAAATAATAAATACGAAGTAAGAAGAGAAAAAAATGATTTAAAAATTAGCAAATAAATATAATTGCAAAAGCAATCGCTATATAAATATAAGAACAGTTAATCAAAAATTTTATCAGCTGACTGAATGGAAAAATATTTATTATATTCATTAAATAAAGGAATAAAGAAAAAGAAAATGAAATAATAAGATGAGAGAAGGAAGAAGGAAGAAATGAAGGAAAAATGGGAAGGAAAAGAGAAGGAATCGAACGATATGATAAGTGTAACAATAATAATATAATATTAATAATATTAATATTACAATAATAATAGTAATGTAATAATGATATAGTAATATAACAATATAATAATAATATAGTAATATAATTATAATAATAATATTACAATAATAATAGTAATAGTATAATAATATATAATTATCATTATAATAATAATATTACAATAATAATAACAATGAAAATATTAATAATATAATATTAATAAATAACAATATAACTAATAATAATATTATAAAGTAATGATAATAAAAATAAAAATAATAAAATTTCCTTTTCGTTTTTAAATTCTAAATTCTTCCATGAATTTCCATGAATTCTGCATTTTTCTGATTTCTTTCCTTTCTATTCACTGTATTATATTTATTAATTTATTAATACTATCATTATACTGTTTTTATTTTATTTTTATGTGATACTGTTATCATTGTTATTATTTACTACTATTTATTATTTAATGATTATTATTATAATTATTACTAATATTTATTAACATTATTTTTATATAATAGTAATATAAATTTTTTTAATTTTTATTATTTATTATTATTTTGCATTATTATTTATTAATATTAATGCTAATATTTTTATTTATTAACATTATAATACATTGTAATACAATAATTTAGAAATATATTTATTGTTATCACAACAATTATAATTATTATTATTATTATTATTACTTTTTGTTTTATTATTTTGTTATTATTATTATATTATTATGTTTTATTATTATTATTTTCATTATTTACGACATTTTTGCATAATACTCTATCATTGTTCAATAATATTTGCAAATAATAATAATAATAACATAATAATTTTCATTTTTACAATGAATAAAAACAAAATATTTATTTCAGAAAAAAAAAAAAAACGACGAAATATTTACTGAATTGCAAAAAAATTAACAAAAAAAAAAAGCAAAATTTGACAGATGATTGATGAATGGATAAAGATGGATGGATAGGCTGCTGGAATGGATGAAGAGATAAATGGAATAGGAAAGACGGGATGGATGGATGGGTGGGTGGATGGAATGGATGGGTGGACCGAATCCATGGATGGATAGAATGGATGAGTGGACGGAATGGATGGGTGGACCAAATGGAGGGATGGACGGAATGGATGAGTGGACCGAATGGAGGGATGGACGGAATGGATGAGTGGACGGAATGGATGGGTGGACCGAATAGATAGGTGGACCAAATGGATGGATGGGCGGGATGGATGGATGGACGGGATGGAGGGGTGGACAGAAAGGAGGGGTGGACGGAATGGAATGGTGGACGGAATGGACGGACACGGAAAGACGACAGAGAAAGAATAACCGAATAGCCCGAAGGAAGGGTAAAAATGCAAATGGTTTTCGCCCGTGATGTGATGTATTATCTATTCGCCGTCGTCGTTCATTTACGAAAAATTTCATAAATTAGCGAAAACATTTATAAACACATTTGAAAAGTTCGGCACTTCTCGTAAAATTCATTTCATTTGTTTTCTTTAATATATTTACATACATGAATAAGGCACTCTCTTCTCTGGCTTGTCACCGAGCACAACCGGAATTTTTGAAAGGCCGGTTTACTCGTGCCTAATCTAGGCCTAAGCCTAAGGCTAAGCCTAAAGCACAGTTTTAAGAAGAGTAGTGAATGGGTCGGTCGAATTCAAACGCGAGCCATTTCTTGATTTTCAGTGGCTATCATCGAAGCTAATAAGCCATTAATTTAATAAATAAAAAAATTTTTAAGAATTTAAAAATTAAATTTAAAAATTTAAATTTAAATTTAAATTTTATTAAAAAATTTAAAAATTTAAATTTTTAAATTAATAAAAATTTATTAAAACAAAATTAATAATGACAAAATCAATGAAAGCAAAAATTAATAAAATTAATATTATTTAAAAATAAATTATTAATAAATTATTGAAATAAAACTGGTAAAAATAATAAATATTAAATATAAATATTAAAATATTTTTCGATAGAAATTATTCAAAAATCACGCATAATAATGAGAATAACGATTAATTTTTATTTATTAAAATCTATTAAATTATTAAATTCAAATTAAAAAAAAAGTTTATTCATATAATTTTAAAAAATTTTCGAAAATAATCTTAATAATTAATAAAAAAACAAATCGACATTAATAATAAAATTCTACATAAAAATATTATTTAAGTAAAAAATAATAAATATTTAATATTTAATAATAATAAAATATTTAATAATAATAAAAACATTTAATAAAATAAATATTATTTAAATCACATAGTTTAGCGTAATTTTAAATTTTTATATTTAAATTTTGGCTAATAAAATGCGAAAATATAAATAATTATATAATTATACTAAAAATAAATGAAGACTTGGGTTGATAGAATATAACGAGGTGTTAAATTTGTAATCTAAGGAGAAATCAAGGAAGCTGGCAAGGAAGTGGTTATGAGAATTTGACCGACGTGAAACAAGTGCAGTAAGGGT